ACTGACAAGGGTGTTATTTATCTCTCCCCAGCAAAATTTCTGCACGGTGGTGTTCACACTGCATTAAGCATTTCCATTACCACCAATAATTAGGTGCATGCAAACCGGGGGCTTGTCTAATTCGTCGTCCTTAAGGAAAATTAATGGGGCAGCAGCGCCATCGGCCCCCGGCTATCCATCTCCCCCAGCTGCCAAGGCCCGACCGGGGCTCATTTTTTTGCCCCGCCTGGAGGCAAAACTTACCGGCCTTCCTGGCTGGGGTGTCCACACAAGGCGAAGTTGCTTTAAAAAGACGGCCAAGTTCTCACCAATGCTAACAGGGCATGTTGGCGGGACCTGTAAATGGCATCTTCCCCCCCCCCCCCGAAGGGAAAACACGGAGCAGGTTGGAGTGGGCAAAAGATGCCCTTATAGCAGGGGGGGACACGCTTTGTCTATTTAGCCCAGCATGAGAAGCGCTGCTCTGCCAGTTCCAGTATTCGGCTGGCAAGTTCCTTCCCAACCACGAGGACTAGAAACACACAACCTTTAAAAAGGACGGCTTTCAAAAAGAGTTGAGTTGGGGCTCTTTTGCAAGCCAAATGTTGGCCCTTCGGGCACGAGGAAAACAGCCGCTCCCAGAACAGCCCCGGGACAGACATTTTTCAAAAGGAGCCTGTCTCTCATGTCGGCAGCTACTCACATGATGGCGTCCGTGTCCCGGGCCAAACGGGGGGAGGTGCAGCCCAGAATCTCCCCAGGCGAGAGAGGCTTACACTGCGGGGTGCAGACCGTGTACTCGGGCCGAAGCTCCTGGGCAGCCGCCTGCAGAGGGGGGGGGAAAGGGGGCCAGTAATGGACTCAGCGCCACGCACACCCTCCGGCCGGCCACACGCCTCCCTCCTCCTGGGAGGTGGGGCACGGAGGTCTCTACCCCCCCAATCCTGATTGAGGGACAACCGAGGGTCCCGCTCTCCTTACCTGCAGTGCAGATACAAACTGGATGGTGCTGACGAGGGCCAGTCGGGTCCCTGGGGGGAAGTTGAAGCGCAGCGTCTCGACGAAATGGCCCGTGTCGATCTTGATGTCCACAAAGACGTACAGCATTTTAATGCCCTGGGTGGAGTCTATGGGAACTTTGGGGAGGGGAGCAGGGGAGGAAGGCAAAGCTCGTTAGGATACTAAGACACATTTGCACTTCATTCTTCCCTCCTTAAAAAGACACCCCAAGCTTCTGGCCCCTATGAAATCCCCCGGAACAAATACGGCCACAGAGGTCACCTTGGAGGGAGGATTTCCGACAGAGTTCTTTGGGTCCTTCTTACTCTGATTCCCCACCCAGGCTATTCCCCCCCCGCCTG